ACCATTGCATAGAGTGAACAACGAACATATTATTCACATAAGCGATACTGACATGGAATTGGACACAAGATAGCCGTCGGTTCGATTTGCATCGATCTGGAGTTCAGATTACGTAATTTTATACAAATATTTCGTAAGTACGCTTTTCAATCTTTTTCTCAAAATGTGAACACTTGGATATGTTATTTGCGTATGATAGATACCGTCGTGGTTTATCCCGTGGCGCTGGGCTCAATTAGACATTGCTTTATAAAAATTAACGCTGTAGGCACGGGCTCAGGTCTACATGAATCGATAATCCGTCAGTGTTGCTATACAGGCATTCAACTTACATACCTTCTAGCTATTTTTGTAAATGACGAATTACAATGTATATGAAAAATCAACATCATATTTCGTTTAAAGTGAACATATTTTATAGAGGAAGGTACTAGAACATAACTCTATGTCTTTGCGGCCAAAGCGAAATCGAAAAACTCCATTTTTCCATTTATATTCATTTGAAGTCTCAATATAGATGTAACATGGTAAAAGCATACAGCGAAAGAAATCGATATGACATCATGTTTCTCTAGAATCTCTAAAACGGTTTCCTTATCAAGCTCGGCTATTTTAAACTCAAAAACCACGTTTTCGTTAGACATTGCAAATATTAACCTTCAGTAATCAGTTTCCCTCAGATCTGAGATTAAGAATGTGTCAGGGAGGTCACGTGTTTTCTAGACCACGTCTCACGTCTCTCACTTTGACAAAAAAGTTTAAAACATTCTTTCTCCAAAATCGGCTGAAGAGCATTAGCGAAGTCGAGCAAATGGCTCTACAGTGCTGCCTTCGGAGGCTTTCTGAAGGCTAACACGCTCTACTGTGCTACCTCCGGAGGCTTTCTGAATGCCACCACGCTCTACAGAGCTACCTCCGGAGGCCTTCTGAAGGCTAACACGCTCTACTGTGCTACCTCCGGAGGCCTTCTGAATGCCATCACGCTCTACAGTGCTACCTCCGGAGGCCTTCTGAAGGCCACTAATGCCTTTCCGTAGACTGTGCAAACATCTACTCCAAGTCTTCCTCATAGCGGTGAACGCTTAATAAGAATTTAATATCAGCAAGAAAAATAGTTTTTAGAAAGAAAAATTCAGATCCTAATATAGTTGTCTCTTACGAATCGTGCAATGACGACAGCAATTCGTACCCTATCTGCGGGGGTAGTATATATCTATAGTACATGTATTCCATGTTGACAGTTGTCGTTGACTATCTCCACGCAATATCCATTGTGTTAAAACGAAAGTTTCAAATCTTAATTTGTCAGAACATCTATGGATATTCATTTGTTATCGGTTTAATATAAAGTAAACTGCATTACTTCACGAACCAAAATTCGAACTGAGCTTAATAAAGATATATTGAATACTTCACCAACGGAAGAATAAAACTGATAAATGCAGAGAAAACATAATTATGTTCCACCAAAATAAAGATAGTATGCATCTCAAATACCGAAGTTACAGGTTATCATGTTGTTTTGAGTACTGTTACCAAAACTTCATTGGCTTAAACCATCACGAATCTGACCTTTTAGGGTCTAATGGTAGCATTTGTTTTGTTAAGGTTCTAATTAGATTCAGCATTTGTCAAGGATGTGGTGTGTTTTGAACCGACTTTACACTTTTTCATCGACAGCATCAGTAAATCAAAATCCGATTCGTACATGTGACAAGTATCAAAATAATTAACACAGTTTTCATAACGCAGCAAGTTATCCGTCTCTGGTGCAATAAAGATTTTATAGAAACAGTAGCTTCACACTGCAAAACACGTCAAAAGTAGTCGCCTTTATTAAAATATTAATATTCCTGGAAAAGTGCAATGCCACGGATTACAGTGCATGCCACAAAAATCTCTTATGCAGCTGGTTATCCAGTGGAGTGGTTCAACATCAATCAAACTTCACTTAATGGACATGTGTGTTTCCTTAATCAATATTTATTGTATTTTGATAACACGCGGCCTTGTTCGATGCATTTACACTAAGAAACATATCGTTATATTAACATTATTCAGGTATTAGTTTGATACATGTGCCTTTGATATTCTTATCCTGTGACGTGTGTTACAACGCTTTGTACAGAGTGTTTAAACACTATGCCAACAACCTGACTTATGAAGTGTTACGTGCATACTTCCGGTTTTAAGAACTGAACACTAAAATTTATTGTGAACTTTTATGAAACAAGCTATCAACTTTTCTTGGTCGTGATTGAAGCGTGTGTTTAATGGGAGGAGCGCCAAGGTGGTGGTGGGCTGGGGTGATTGCACCGTGTTATCTCTACTTCATATGTCATTGATTATGCTATCTTGCTTAAACCTTTAATCTTCATACCTCTGCTTCGTATCTCCGTGTGTGCAAAATCGTTTTCTTTCTCGAGAGGTGTTTAGTTCTTAAATCCTGTGTTCCCTGTACATTCTGTAGGACCCAATTAAACATTGAACTTAGGTTCATAAAGAGCAATATAGTAGAAAGGATGTGTATTAACATTGATCCAAAGTACATGTCTGAAACCTATAAAAGTTACAATTGATTCAGCTGCAAGTAAATAATTTGTATTAAAGGATGAGAAATTAATTTATCAGGATTGGGTCATGTTTTATTATTTTTTTAACTTCTTTGTTACAGAATTTAAAATACATTATGACGATTTACATTTTTCGAGCACTTTACTATTGAATTCTTCGAAATGTGCACGTCTCCATGCTTCTCAACAAAAAAACGATTAGAGATTCTGCCACCTTAATAGCGTTTTCTCTAACTCGGTGATTATTTTCCTTTTTTAATTTCTGTTGCATTCTTGTGTTGAGGAGGTTTAATTAAGCAGGTTATCGTCCTTGTATCCACTCCAGTTGGCACTTCCACAGCCCAACGTGTGAATGCTTTCTAAATTGGTTAGGTCTGTATCTTGCCAAATTCTTGTGTCATTCAGCGTTGAAGTAAACTGGCCGATGAAATATCCTTTTTGAACGCTGTTTCCAGGTAAACACAAACAATGTTACCTCTAATTACATTACGGGATCATTTCAATCAATTTTTAATGAGTACATTAATGACGTGTTATTGACCTAACATAACGTTGGTATCTTATATCATTTTAACAGTCACCGACATTATGATTCCTAAAGACACCTGTCGGTTTGCACGGATTCCAAGTATCTCCGATACCAGGTTACATGTATCTAAGGTAACAGCTGTGTAAACCGTGCTCGTAAAGAAAACCCACTGAATCAAGAAACCTTATACATGATCAACTTTTGTCTAAACTGTAACATCGAACCAGAGAAAGAAAGTTGATAATCAATATCAAACAGTTTTCGATGAAAGAACGTAATTGTAATTGTTTGACTGATGTTCGACCAGTTTCTCAAGAGGTAGAAAATTTAAATAAATATCATATAGACATGTCCATTTTATTTGAACTTCTGCTTTAACGACATCCGCGATGTAAATCTTGGTCAACCAAAGTAATAAATGTCACGTTCTCAAATAAGAACAAGGTATACAACAATAGAATAAACATGCAAAATAACGAGCATTAAACTCGTCCAGTTACACATCACACAAATGGAATATTTCTCAATCATGTCACTGTGCTGTCAGTTAAAACTGATCCAATCCATTATTGTCATCAACCTGTTTGTTTTGAAACCCTGTGTTACGGGTTTATCAGTTGACGAAAATCGTGATATTGGGAACAGACTATGGAATGTCGAATCAACTGCGATATGGTTGGGGACCAGTTTTCCTTAATCTTTTTCTAACGATATTCCTTGTCATTTCCGGTCAATGTAAGCTGTTCAGTGTTTGGCGTTTGACCGTCCCAATAAAAGCATACTTAAAACCACTTAATTCAAATTCTTATTTTAGATTGTTCGAAAACAGTCATGTATTTTGCAGTTAATTGTTACATCATTTTAATTAGTATGAAACCAGACAAAGAAGTCTGTTGATATAATTTAAGATTATCCTCCTGTAATAAGGCTAACGTTTGTCAAGGTGTCTAAAGAATGTCAATGGTTCGATTAAAGAACTGTCTGATTATAATCTAACCGACCCGTTAATATAGAAAAGACCGTCAGAACTAATGGTTCTATCATATCTAATCTTATACAATGAAAGGAGGACACGTTTTAAACAAGTATTGGTAGCTTCGATGTTTTAAACCTTACGGAACTAACCAACAACTCTAGTGTGATATACAAAATTTGTATGGAAACGTTTTTAAAGAGATTTTAGACTAATTATATTACATGACCGTATAATCTTTAGGCTGATGGTCAATATCATCTTGATAAACGTGTTTTACAGTAAATTGTTCAAGGCATGCTATGCACTGAGCCATTCATTAAAACGCGATGATCGTCAATCTCTCCGCTATTTCGCTATTTCTGAATACCTACCAAGATAAAATGGAGAATTGGCCAATTGTGTCCCGGTTGTTTGTCCATTTTTTAATTTCATCATAACCAATTTCTTTTATAACGGAAAGTCTGTAGGCTGAGTTGTCATCTTAAACCAGGTAACGGTAACAAATATTTCAAAAATTTTCCGACGGGATATATGGAAGAAGGGAAATAACTCTTACATACAAATGGAGAAATACATGTTCATTGAAACTTAATCTTTCGACGTCATTAACATCATAAAAAGTAAATGTTTACAATATTGTCCTTTGATAGAAAAATTTACAAGGAAACTCCTGAAAAGGTACAAGGAGAGTAAGACCGTGTGTGTTGAGCTGTGAGTTTTGAGACAATGTATTTTCTGTAATCTTTATTTTCAGTTTTGGTTTCAATTCTCTGAATTGTATATTTGCTTTGTAATTTCACAAAACGGAAATGTGTTCATTTTCTAAAATTAATTTACGAAGTATATTCGTGCAGTGTAAAACACATAGAAATACAGTGTTTTGTTGACTAAGAAATCATATGTATTTTATCTACTTGTCATTATGGAGGTGTCATCTACTTTAGAGACAACAAAACCCATCCGATTAAAGCCTTCGGATATATGTTTTAGCCAGAAAGAAATCTACCATCGATTTCGGCGGAGGTCTTATCACGGACACCGCACCATTGGTGAGACATTAGACGACATAGTGGAGGGTCGGCTAAATGTAACGAGTTTGCCGACAATTTCTTTAAAAAAGGAAGAGGAAGAGACGGATGGAAATGGCGCCGACGGTGAGAAGAAAGTTCGATGGATCACCGCTGATAACCGTCGCCTTTGGATTTTTAGACATTTGGAGAGACTGGGTACGTTTTCCACGTTGTCAGAATAGTATTTTGAACACAATAATAAACTAATGAACTAATATATTTAAAACGTGTTTTGGACATTTTTATTTGTCAGCATATCTACTCTCAAATTTCTGTAGTAATGATGATGATTCCCGTTAATGTCAATATTATCAGATACATATGTATATTTTATTACACTACGTTATTGAATAACTTTGTTTAACATGATTACTTACAACAACCGTACCTGTATTGATACAACCAAATCAATACAGTCCATTATATTGACAAAGAAATAGCGTTACTTCGACGCACTTGAGTAATGAGAGTCACATAAGAAACAAGGCCAGTAACAGATTTGTTATTTAAGTGTTTATCATGGTTTTATGATTATGGGACGTCAAATTTCTCAGATTTGCTACAAAAAAAAAGAAGAGAAAAACTCGGGATATCAATATATTTTTTTCTACAGGTAGATGTAAAGATGTTCCATTCGAAGAAGTCACGTACATTAGCTCCATGAAATTATCTTCACAAAACCGTGGGGCTTCTGTTGAGATAAAAGACCGGGAGTTACCAGGTGGATTTTGGTACCAGGCTCCAGATGTTACACACATTGATCCAAAGAGTGTTAAATTCACCAAAATCATTATCCCAATGTCCTTTACTGCTGAGACTCATCCAGGGGTCAAAGTTATGTCGCTCGTCGAGAAACTGGAATGTGGAGATCTGGAATTCCAAAGTGTACCATCGATCATTGTTTGGGATGACGACATAACAAAGCGAGTTATCGACGGAAACAGGCGTCTGTGGGCATTCCAGAAAGCAAATCAGTCTAAAATTGCAGCAATTGTGATCAAAGATCGACAACTCCTGACCAAGACTGTTCGAAGGATGACAGGAAACAACCTGACGGATATAACTGGTTATACCAAAGTGCCTAGCAACCTGATTTTGCAGCTGTCCTTGCATCAGCATCTGAATGGCCTGACCCCTCTGATCTTATGTGAGTCGTGCCATTCTTAAAACGAATCAAATTCACAATTAATTTTAGGGAAGCAGTTGTTCTGTATAAAGACTAACGAAGAGTGACTTGACCAACGCTGCATGAGACCAGAACACGGTGCACGAGATTCTTGTTTTTTCATTCCTCCATTTACCAGAGCTGCGCATTGTACCGTGACTAAATTTTCGATACATGACAAGGTGTAATATGACCTAATTACTCAATCCACAAAGTTTCACTTTATTTGGAGAACGCGTTTTCATAATATCAGAATAACTATTACCCTGCGTTTTTTTTTATCCTTTCAGTATATTTTACTATGCAATTACGTTCTGTAGCCCAGGTAGCCGGTTATTACTGAAATAAACTACTAGTTCGTATTGTTCTAGCCCGGTAAAGTTTGGTTGTTCAGAGCTGTAACTTATAACATTTGTTCAACATTTTAATTATGTAATTTGCGCCAATTCGTAGGTTAACGCAAGTCTGTCATAAGAGTTATTCCCCTTGTTTAAACACGGTCAGGTCTATAATATATACATGTATGTGTTGGAGGGCGAGAGTTTATTGTCTTTTTGTATTTTACATTGCAGGGTTTTTTCTGTTATTTATCATGGGGCAATAAAATGGCGTGAGAATCCACCCAGTGGCCCTTGTGTTTATGTGCAATAATCTAAGAACTGTAACACGAAGAAGACGTAGTTGTTGGTCTAGAAGAATTGGTATGTAATTATGAAGTGCTAGGGAGGGTGATTGGAGATTTTAATAATAGATCATTAATAATAATAAGTCTACAATTATCAGAGGTACCAGATAAATGGACAAGTGCTCTGGAGAATGGAAGCCCTGTATATTGTATTTATTAATTGTATATATTTCTAGTAGACAGAAGATTGCGCCTGGACTGGTCGCCTGTGCGACAGCTCTGATCGTTATTGACGTCTTAAGAAATCCTCCGACACACAGCTTACGTGAGTGTTCCTGATCCTGTTTCACAATTGATGTGCAGTTTGCATAGTGGGGAGAAGGTAAATCTCGGTGTTTCTGTTCTGTACGATAAACTTTCTATACATATGTTCAATACACAGCCACCGACATCAACTCACGGAACTCCTTCAAAACACTTGGCCTTTGGTACCATATGTCTTGGATTGCTTTTGAGTGGGAACATTGAGATCAACCCTGGTCCTACAAATATCAATTCTTATTATCAAAATGCCCGAAGTGTAACTAACAAATTACACACTATGAACTCCAACTTCTGTCCTACAGACTATGGCATTATAGCTTTGACGGAGACATGGTTACATGATGGTGTTTTTAGTAGTGAATTATTGGATACCGATCATTTTAACATCTTTAGGAACGATAGAAACACTTAAAAAAAGCTTGTGGTTATGATAACATATCAGGTGTAGTTTTTAAACAATGCGCCGATGAGTGATGTGTTCCACTGTGTAACATTTTCAACAGTTCATTATCCGATGGTATCTTTCCAGATATTTTTAAAAGAGCCAAGGTCATCCCAATTTTTAAATCTGGAAAACGTAATGTAGTTTCTGATTACAGACCAGTGTCATTACTACCAATTTTATCTAAAGTTTTCGAAAAACTGGTCGATGTTCATTTTTCAAATTTTATTAATACGCTTATCTGCGATGAGCAACATGGTTTTATGCCTAGGCCTACCGTTTCTAACCTTGCATGTTTTACCGATCACATTTCTAAAGCATTTGATAATAAGGTTGAATTGCATGCTGTATATACTGATTTTTCAAATGCATTCGATAAAGTAAACCACAAATTTATTGCACAAATTAAAATCGTAGGGTTTAGAAGGCAGCCTTTTAATGTGGTTTACACCGTACCTGGAGTTAAGATTAAAGCGTGTTACTGTCAATGGGGCCACATCCGGTTTGCGTCATGTAACTTCCGGTGTGTCTCAAGCATCGATTATCAATATCAATATTTCCTATTCGTAAATTTGTTTAACGAAATTGGTGTATTATTACATAATTAATTTATGCAGTAGTTTAAAAGTAATTTCTCAATACGGTAATAAGATGCATGTCATATAAAATAAAACTTACAAAAAAAGTTTATGTAATTTATTTCCGTGTGTTCAAAACTGTCCTACAACCATCAACACTACAGACGATGTTCCTGTGAAAGTTGGTCACCAACACAATCATCTACCTGATCATTTCCAGGAAAAGTTCAGTAGATCATGAACATCATAAAGAAGAAGTCCATACCCGCCATCTATGATGAAGAAGTCGACAACTACAGACACATAACCAGGTAGCTGAGAGACAACTGATGGAACAGCTTCAAACCTAACATCCTGCAAGACATCCCTCTACCACTCCAGAAGAAGGAAGCTCTTACCAAAGCTACCAGCAACCTCCCCATCCCCTCCGTCCCTACCACCAGTAACCTCAGAGCCTTTGCAGCCGCTGACATACTATACTGTGACGGGACGTTTACGGCTAGTGTATAGCCGTAAAGTCAAGACCAATAACCAGCTGTACCCGCTTGTATTTGCTCTGCTACCAGAGAAGCCTCTACACCAGGCTCCTGGAGAAGCTGAAATCTGTGATAGAGGAGCAACGACTACTACTCAACCCGACTAATTTTCCTTCGAGTCTGCTGCCCAGAATCCATAGCATTTTTCGCTGTGTTATACTCCCTCTCAATCCTCCGCACCATGTAGAAGACTACTGGTTCAATGCACCGGATGACGTGGAGGATGTCGATCAGCGTTCATCCAATGGATGAAAGGCGACAGGCCGGTTTGGAACCACTACGACAATGACTGACCTAGAACAACCAACAGCTTAAAAGGGTGGCACAGCAATCTTAAGAAGAGAATCCCCCCATGGTCACCCTAACATCTTCACCTTCATTCAAGTACTAAATCTAGATTGAGAATGATATCACATGGATTCAGCTTGATGCCGGAGGACTGTCTGTACCCGAGAGAAGACGATAACGACTACTGAATGCCCACCTGATCTAACTGAAAACTCAGCTCCAAACAATAAGACTACATGAACTATGGTGACAGGGTGACCTATTTACTCCACATTGAATAGATTTGTGCTGTTTTAAAAAAGACATTAAAATCAATTAAAATGTACACTGAGTAATCCTGAAAATGTTGACATGTAAACATTTGTATTGCGGGAAGTTTACGTTTGAAAAAATTTAGGTACAACACTCACGTAATTATATTTGCTTTGCAGTATGTAGTTTAATTATGTACATGGTATGTGATTATGTGTTTTTTGTCATTCAATTCACGTTGTATCGTACATAGTATTATTTTACTAGATAGAGGTTTGAACTATTTTCTTTGTGATAAAAATTGGATGTAGGTCAGAAAATGTGAATCTAATTTAATATATTTAAATGAAACTTTATAGTTGTTGTGCTATTACCTAAATACCTATATTTATGTATAACACACTAGAAAAAAGTCCAGAGTTGTATGCAATGTAGGTAAGAGATTATCTATATTTAGAATTTCATATTTAATATTACCTAATTTAACTTTTGTTGTACTTTGACACATTCACTTGCATTACATGTAATTACCTGGATTTCTAATAAACAATTTAAGTTTATAAGTTTATAATGACTTCTCTTTGTAATTACTTTCTTAAATAAACAAATTTTGTTTCTTCCAAGAATTTTTTTTACCTAGATTTTCAGTTTTGGGACAAACAGGGCTAAACCATGAATATATACTATAGTCCTAGTAACCATAGATTATTTCTTGCTAGTGTTTCGCGCAAATGTTCGAATTCTCTAACATATCTGCATTCACCATTGTGCAGGCAGATGATTCCATATAACAACAACTCTAATGTAACAAAAAGTCAAAATAATTTATCATCAAATGTATATAATAAAAATTCCATCAAAAACATCACAAGACCTACACCATATGATATATATATATATATCCATAAACTACATAACACTATAGAACCAACAGAAAAAATTTCTGTCAATACAGACAGCAAAATGTCTCTATCCATGTCTTACACTAAAAGTTACGCGTCTTCTCTTTTAAAGCATGAACCGTTCCATAGATATCGGACACAGTTTCAATGTTATACATGTACTTGTGATTGTGACAAAAAAGACCAAACACTACAAAATACCGCTAAATGATCAGGTAAACATGACAGAATGACTTCAATTGTGAAAATTATCACTGTTGTTCAGTTTCTGAGATGGTCATGGTCAGATCTAAGCATTTCTACAAAACCAGCGATATGATTGAATTCAATCTTGTCACCACTAAGTACAATTTTATGCAAGCAATTTAGATTAAAACTATCCATCTAAATCAAATTAAATACAGTAAATTGTAAATCAGGTGTTTTCTAACGATTCTTTAAGACTGAAAATTTTTTACCCTGAACCAACAGATATCTTTAGAGAAATATTTGCATACAAACAAAAAAGAGTAAGGAAATTGATTAATCAAAAATGAATCAAACTATTGTTATGTTAAAAATTAAATATCATCAATAGTACTCCACAAAAATCTGTGAAAAAAAGAAGCTTAGTCCTCTTCCTTTTGAGTTGATGCCATACTGATCTTTTGACAGATAATTACGTAGTGTCAATTGCACAAGTAGGCATCTTGTGACACAATTTCTGGAGGAATAAAAGCTAGCCTTTATAATTCCTCTATATATTGTCACTGGGTGTTCTTTGTTTTAAGATACAGTATCATGTTAAGTGTGTATTCAACAAAATAAGATGTGATTTTCCAGTGTTAAGAGGTGGTTAACCAATCGGTACTTCTCAAGTAATCATGTTACCTTGTAACCTTTTCAAAATAAATACACGAAGTAATGATTCAGGTCAATATTGGTTTCTCGAGTGATATGCTAATCACTTAAACACAGTTAATTACCATGTTTGAGCCCATGCTACAATCTGTCAAACAACATGTGACATAAACTCTGAGTAATGAAAAATGAGATATACCTCATACAATTTTTGCATCATTCAGTACACAAGTTAAAATTTACAGGATATCTAGATCTGTTGCCACTAAACAGAATTTTTTTTTTTTTGACATCTTGTTAAATATCAATCCAGGCTTCAATTCAAGTCCCATAATTCATTCTCTTCTGATGATGATTCCTCAGAGACATTTTTAAAGACAGAATGTTCATTTTTAATCCACTTCTATATATATATATATCTTCTTTTGACCATTGCTGAAGAGCTGACATCAAATAATGTAACTCAAACCTCTGATTACTTATTCAATTTTCCAATGGTGAAGTTCATAGTGAAACAAAGACAGCACTGTCTTAGGAAGCTGGAAATGCTGACCCAGTAGCACCTGCATGAAATAAAACAGAAAAAATACCACTGAAGAACAAAAAGGGAATGAAATATTTACTATCAGTTTAAGCATGGATTTCAAATGTTTAATGATTTAATTATAGGGAAGCCATTCATGAAGACTAAGCAAACATGAAGGCTAGGACATTCAATTGAAAGGCATTTCATATATTAGATGTAGGAGAACTAATGTGGTGTCTAGTGAAAGGTCATTAAGAATTAATGTGCTTAATCAGATCTAAAAGGTCGGGTGCAAGATCATGATTGCTATGGAGATAATGGGACATACTCTACAAATAATGGAAAATGAAATGCAACTAAAACTATGTTTAAGACCTCTAAAATTTTGTACGAGTTAAGTTGATATGACCTTTGAGTGATCAAGCAGTTATAGCTTCTATTTGATCATTCTAGTCCAAAGTGACAGAACAAGGTATTTACACCTGTTTTTGGTAAAGTGCATATGACATCTCATTGATCAATTTTGCTTCATAAGGTAATTTTATCAGAAAATATATTTCACTTAAACAAGACAATGTGACCTTGACATTGAACGTGCTGACCTTGACCTGTGATAAGACATTTCCTCCTTTGATTCTAGTTCACTTTCTCCATACTGTTAAAACAAATGATTTATCAGAAAAAATATTCCAAAGGCAAATGTGAACATTGACCTGAAGACCTTGACCTGGAGTCAGATGTCGTCACATTTGATTTCAGTAAATTTTGCATCATGATGCCATAAAAGAATATATAAGAATATATAAATAATATGTTTTTACAATAAGTGACACTGACCTGTGACTTCTGGACTAGACAAGCCATCCCAAACAAGTTATTTTCTTGGCCCAGCAGAGCTTGAGATATTAGGCAGCGACTGGAAAAATGGAGAGATGGGTTAAACAATCTCATTGCTATATGCCACCCACATCTTTGATGGAAAGTCCTGATTCAGTTAAAAATATTTCATTATGTAAGATCATTAAAGCAATTTAAAGGCAGAATCACATTGAACATTTAAGTTTTCATGTCTGACATTTGTCTAACATAACCTTTACCTGGTAAATTGCTATAATGCTACAGTGTTATGAGAAGCTTCCAATAGTATTATGGTCTGGCTTAATGAACATGACTTCCACAAAAACTGAAACTAAAAAATAGGAATGTTTTGTTAACCGTAAAGGTTTACATTAACAAACACGCTCTGTATGTTATGTATACATTTACAACATGAATGTTTGTAAACTGACTTCAAATGCTACCTGTGCTAAAGAAATCCAATGTCATAAAGAACTTACTTCAAATTAAATACTATCCAAACTCTCTTTCAAAATTGATAAGATGTGAAAGAAGTGTTCAGAGCAAACTGATGGACAAAAATCAGCCAAAGTACTTTAATGTAGATGAAAATTCATGTCTATAGTATTGCACTTAAAGTATCTTAATACCACTGCAACAAGGACACTGAGTATTGCTGAAGCAACATGTCCCCCCACCAGCCTCCATAAGCTATTACATTGTAATAATTCATAAAAATGGTATTGTTTGGTGTTAATTTTGAAAAATAGAAAAGAATGCAATAAGACAGTAAATGATTTTAGTGTAACAGTGCAATAAATAAGTATGACACCCTGACAATAACCATCTCACCACTAATGTTGTGGTCATTTGTAAAGGGATAGAGTCGCTAAAGTGCTGCTAATAATTTTCTAAAAACAGTAATGGTGATTTTGTCCAAACAACCCTGAAATTCAAACTTATCAAAGATATTTTGAAGCTTTTTTTAATATTTTTAAAGTATGTGAAGTTTGATGAGAATTCCTCAAGGTAATCTAGCTGGAGCTCTGATAACAATTTCTGAAATTACTAATGGTGACTCTGATAATTTGATGCTTTATAACTTTGTGAAGTTTGATGAGAATCCAACAACTAATAAAGCTATTAAAAGTGCTGACAAGGTTTTCCTAAAACAGTAATAGTGAACTTGATCTTTACCCAATAACAGTGAAAGACGAACTTGTTCAAAATATTTGGATGTTGTAGAGGAGTGTGAAGTCTGAAGAGAATAGACTTGATCCTATGAATATGCAATTTCCTTTAAAAGTGGCCGAGAGCGACATCTGACCTATAAACTTTGCCGATCACCACCTAAATCTAACCTGGTACTTGATGTGAAACTATTGTGTGAATATCGACAAAATCTTTTCAAAAGTTCATAAGATATCTTGTACTTCTCTTTTAGATATGGATGCATATTCAAATTAATTAATATCTAACACTCCGCTTAAAGGTTTCAACCAAATGAACTTATTATTAGTACCTTAAATGTGCAGGTTTAGTGTGCACTCGGGTATAGAGCACAGGTACATTTTTGGGGTCAGATTAAAAGAAAAAAAAAGGTATATGTATGATCAGCGAAAGGTTACTATTGTTAAGTATTGGCTACAATTTTTGAATACAGATAATTGTATATTAAGAGCTTGTTATTACGAATTAGTTGATCTTGATACCAAGAAGCCTAATTGTAAGGCAAATTGGATTTTTCATATGAAACAAGATTTATTTAGATTTGGATTTTGGTGATGTATGGTTGGCACATGGTGTTTCAAATGAAAGGTATTTCTTACTGATATATAAACAACGTATACAGGATATATTTATTCAAGACTTAAGAAGATTTGAAAACTCCTCGAAGTGTACATTGTATACACATATAGTTGATCGGTTTGTTACACAATCGTACCTCAACAAACCAATAACCATGAAAATAAAAATGATACTGTCTAAGTATAGGCTGAGATCACATAAGTTGAATGTTGAAACGGGTAGATACCATGGTGTTAATATTTCTCAAAGAATATGCACTCTGTGAGACAGTAATGAAATAGAAGATGAAATTCCTTTATTTTACTATGTCCATCTTATTCAGAATTACGTATATTATATAGCAAGCCTTACTTTTATAACTGGCCATTCAAAATTATTCAACTATTATCTAGTAATAATGTAAAAACTCTCAGGAATTTTGGCAGGTTTCTGATTCATGCTACAACAAAAAGAAAGGAATTATTAAATACTTTAAATATTTTCTACTTAATTTATTCAAGATGTTTTTGAGCAGTTGAGTGTTTCTTAATTAATGTATACATTTTCATTTGTCAAAAGTAACACTTCCGAGTACTGGTGTTTCAGAACACCGCGCTGTTTAAAATTTGCTTGATATCTATGCGTACTTATGAATTTTGTGTCTTAATCTTATTGGTTATGGCTAATGTTCCCCGCCATCTCGTGTAAATGTAAATGTTATTATTTGTATGTATATTCTCAATCTTGTATGCGGTTACATACGGAATGAAATAAAATTGAGTAGAAATATTGATGAGTGGTTACCGCAGTGCAACAGTCAATGTTTAGATCCATCAATAATTAGGAAACCACAATGAGCGTGACCCTACCACACTGAATTATCTTATGTAAACAAAGTCACGTAAGTGCCTGAGTTAACAAGCATGGAAGGCTAGACTAATTGGATAATTAACGGTTATTAACAGGTTACACGTTGAGTCTGAGTAGATTGATGACATCCGGCTTGGGCAGAATGCATGCCATTGGTCAGAAAACTATGTCCTTTTAACAGTCTGAAAATGTTCAATTCTACCTTGCCATGAAAGCTGGTGATATGTTCGGTATTGGTATGATCTTTCATGGTATCTTTACCCACCGTGGTGTCTGCAGGTACTTAATGATATATAGCTTACATCTACTTTGATATGGGGTAACAGCGAACATCATTTACAGCCAAAGAGAAACTGGATGCCATTGACTACGCCAAAACATTGACATCAAAGAATCCAACATTCAGTCATGGAAGGAAAAGAAGAACGCCTGAAGTCCCAACCCCTGACCAGAAAGGCCGACAGAGATAGATAGAGAGCTGTATAATTTCGGGCCATGCAGGTAAATTGGATAGGTCTAACACTTACAACAGAGAAGTCAGACACCTATCTAACACTTACAACAGAGAAGTCAGACACCTGTCTAACACTTACAACAGAGAAGTCAGACACCTGTCTAACACTTACAACAGAGAAGTCAGACACCTGTCTAACACTTACAACAGAGAAGTCAGACACCTGTCTAACACTTACAACAGAGAAGTCAGACACCTGTCTAACACTTACAACAGAGAAGTCAGACACCTGTCTAACACTTACAACAGAGAAGTCAGACACCTGTCTAACACTTACAACAGAGAAGTCAGACACCTGTCTAACACTTACAACAGAGAAGTCAGACACCTGTCTAACACTTACAACAGAGAAGTCAGACACCTGTCTAACACTTACAACAGAGAAGTCAGACACCTGTCTAACACTTACAACAGAGAAGTCAGACACCTGTACAACAGAGAAGTCAGACACCTGTCTAACACTTACAACAGAGAAGTCAGACACCTGTCTAACACTTACAACAGAGAAGTCAGACACCTGTCTAACACTTACAACAGAGAAGTCAGACACCTATCTAACACTTACAACAGAGAAGTCAGACATATTGTGTTGACATATACAACACCATCAGAGCCTGATATATATATATCATGAAACTTTCAAAGAAATTATTTACAGTAAGATTTTACAATATGTCCAGGATCTGGATTCTGATCTTCTTCTCCAGCTAGAACATCTTATTGGTATTGAGCAGTATCTAATACTTAGATTCTTTACCATGGACCATCTCTTCCAATCCACACATCCATCCAAACATCTTGATGCCATATACTCCACTCCTTGTATGTGTTGTCCAATATGAAAGCTGAAAAAATAATGTATGTGTACAGCACATAAAGCGTAAATTCAGCAAAACCAAATTTTAGGGAACATTTTCTTGATTATATTAGAGCACCATGCTAATACTCTTATATTAAGGAATTTAAGCTTCAGAAATCATCCTTTTTTTGGTATTGAAATATTAACATCAGGCTACGGAAGCACTATAAATAAGACAAGATATCAAGTACATTTACTGAGAATTCAGGTCTTACAGACATTGCTGTATATAGTAACATCATATACTAAATTTAGTCCTTAACAAATAACTGCTCATCTAAAATCCACTTTTTCTAAGCTTACCTACCCTACTGATACAGTATCAATTTGCATTTTCTACCTCTTTGATTGATGATTGCTATGTATTGTTTTGTAAATATATTACTTGTTGGGATGGAGTCTTTAGCTACAAATTACCACTGTTGCTGAAAGAGCTATTAAGATTTTAAATCTGGCAGTCTTTCGGCAAATTCTACACATTTTCCACTGACCCTATATATTTTGAAATGATGATATAACCAAACTTGTCAAACCACAGAAAATTTTTTTAGCATGCTGTCGTGTATTCAAAGCAGTTGTTCTGATCCTACTTATCAAAAGCAGCAGTCATACTTTTATTTGTCAAACTACAATGGGTTATTACCTTACAGCATCTATCCCAGGATTAAGGTTTTGTTGAGGTATACCATCCATAGTATTTAATTGATAATTTGTCCAATTATTGACCAATAACATTGTAACTGAAAACTTGTAAATTGTTTGAACTGTGCGGTACTTCCTATGTTAGTTTATGTCATCTTTTCTAATCTTTCACTTAAAGATGTGAGATGAAAGCTTCAGGTTTGCACAGTGTTCTTAAAAGAAAAGCATGTTTTATTTTAAGTATCAGTATAACAAGAGGCCAAATGGCCTTGACCATCATCTGAGATAAGCAACATGGAATATGAAGTTTCAAAGGTAAAAAGCTTTCAAATGTCATGAAAAAGAAATCGTGACACTGATGATAGTAAGCCAGTGTCAATACATGCATATCATCAAAACCGATATCCTAGACTAATATAATAATTCTTACCAAGTTATTTCCAGCAGGAAATAAATAACGTTATGCTCAAAAAAGCAAATTTTCTATAAAAATTACAGTAAAGTTCACCTCCTCCCCAAGAAGATATGTGAGACTCATTTTGGTAAATAAAGCACCTTAAGATGCTTCCATTCATGAAGAGCCTAATAAGTCTAACAGTTTGAGATATTTCCAATGGAAATTACACAAAGTATGCTCAAAAACCTATTTTGCCTAT